TCTGATATCCTTTCTTCTGCTTGATCAATTCGGCTGTTAAAACTTGTGCATACTTCGCGAAGTTCTCGTGTTGTGTTTTTCAGCTCCATTCATTCACTTATATTCCTCTCTAAATTGTGTATTGTTGTTAACATTTTGTCAAGTCTTTCTTCAAAGTTCTTAGTTTCTTTGCATTGGGTTAGAACAAGTTCTTTTAACTCCCAGAAGTTTCTTATCATCCACTTTTTAGAGCCTGCTTCTGATAATGGAACACAGTCTTTCTCCATCAGGCCTTGTTCCGTTGCTGATGAGGAAATGTGATCCCCTGTAGAGGGAGAAGCGTTCTGAGTTTGGGTATTCTCAGCCTTTTTAGGCTGGTTTCTTCCCTTCGTTATAGATTTATCCATCTGTGGTCTTTATAATTACTGTCTTTATAGTTGGGTTTCTGAATGGACGTCCAACTTGTTGATTCCTGGCGCTAAAATCTGAGCAACCCACTGCTCCGGCCAAAATAGCAGCGTTAAGATTGATGGTGCTTTTCTGACTCTGCACCAAGAACCGCGGCACCAAGGCAGCGGCAAAACCGCCTCGCCGGCCACAAGAGTCGCGCTGGCGAACTGTGGGGCTCCTCCGCTGGGAATCTCCTGGTGCGTGAGCAGCAAAAATTGATCTGCAAGTGTGGCGTCCTCTCGTTCTCTGCACTTTCAGTGGGAGCTACAATCCCAAGCTGCTAGTGATCAGCCATCTTGGATCTCTCTCCGGCTGCCCCAATATTTCATATGCCAGTTTTGAAGCCTTAGGTTGTGACCTCTCGCTTCTGACCGACTGGTTATAAATCAGGATTCCTATGGCCACCGCATAAGTTTGAATAATTTATTAATTATTTTTTTCTTTTTTCTTTTTTTTAGACAATTTTAAAGTTTTCTAAGTTTCTTTTTAAAGTTTTCTAAGTTTTTTTTTTTTTTTTTTTTTTAAGGTACTACAGCTTCTTGACTGCAAAGTAACAACTATGGCAACAGGAAGTTTTTTAGTTATTAAAATCCAGTAGCTTGTTAGCCCTGCTGTTTAAATACTGGATTTTTCTTTCAAATTTCACAAATATCTTGGGAATGACTGCAGCGTTTATGTTCTTAACACTGAGGAAATTCCTGTGTAGATAAATGAGGCCAGATGGAGGGTGCAGCAGACAGCTTAATATCCTCATGAAATGGAAGGTAGGGGGTGTACTGGAACACACTCCAGGCCCTTGAGAGGCCCCTATTTTCTGGGATACATATATTAAGGGCATTTTTCTTTTTTCTTTTTTTTTTTTTT